CTTTATGTAAGGTTTTGAATTTGATCCCTTAACTTTAAAAAGTATACCTTTAGTCCTTCAACCCTAAATTTGTTGGTTTTAAATGATAATTTTTTGTAACAATCATAACTCTTTTGAATATTACACTTAATATGTGAACATTTAGTAATATATTATCAGCATTCAAGAGCTCAATATCATCATCTTTTGTTAACAATTTTAGGATTAAATGGCTAAAAGTTTACTTTTTAAAATTAAGTGACCAAAATAAAACTATGTGTAAAGTTAAAGGACTAAAAGTATACTTTAGCCTAAATAAAAATATATTATTATGAGAAAAATATGTATTATTATAATTAAAAAAATATGCTACAATAAAAATTAATTTAAAATTAAAATATTATTTTGTCTAGGTGTTTGGGAAAACACTGGCTACTAAGTCATCCTATCCTCGCTTTGAGTAGCTCCCAGATAGTGAAGTCTTTGGTTGGGGCTTCAAGAACAAGTCTACTGATGGATAGCTGAGAAGCTCCATCACCTTTGTCATATCTTCAAGGTTTTGGTTGAGCACAGGAAGACTGAGCTTTTTTCTTCTTTTTGTGAGACCTCTTTGAACTGAAATCTACAAGATCATCATCACCAGAATTTCCAGCTCTTGAACCCAAGCATAATCAGAACACTAAGGTTTCTTCTAGGCCCTAAGTTGTTCCCACAGAAGTTACTCCCTAGGGTACTTATAAATTACTCCTCATGGGCTACAATTCAAAAAATTCTTTAGTCCATATATCCAGACTCCTAGTAAAGCTGAATACATTGGCTACAAGCCTTCAAAAAGCCAAGATATTCTCAACGTTTGATCTTAAAGTTGGCTTTTGGCAACTAGGTATTCATCCTCAAGATAGATACAAGACTATATTTTGTATCTCTGATGCTTAGTATCAATGGATGGTGATTCCATTTCGATTGAAAATCGCTCTATCCTTATTTCAAGAAACCATAACCAAAACATTCGGCCCATCCTTGACACTGCTTTGGTCTATGTGGACCATATTCTTTTGTTTTTTGAAGATGAGGATTTTCACAAAAAAAAACTACTAGCTTAATTTGCTGATATTGTGGACCAGCATGGCATATTGCTCTCTTCCAAAATAGGCCTTATAGCCCAAGAGTAGATTGAATTTCTGGGAGCCATATTCTACAATGAATTTTATTCGCACGGTCCTCATATATCACAAGAATTGCTCAACTTTTCAAACAACAGCTTGTCAGTAAAACAAGTTCAACAGTTTTTCGGCATAATCAATTATGTCTGTGACTTTATTTCTGATGTGACTAGACATACAAACCACCTGTTCAAGCTTTTGAAAAAGAACCCTGTCTCTTGAGGAAAAGAACAAACTGTTGCAGTAAAAAAGTTCAAATAAATTGCACTGCATCCTCCACCATTGAAGATTCTAGGTGATGACCAAAGAATCTTGCAGACTGATACCAGTGATCATTATTGGGGTGCAATCCTTCTTGAAGAGGTTAATGGCAAGAGATATCATTGTGGACATGCTAGCAGATAATTCAAAGAATCAGAAAAGCATTATCCCGCCACCTATAAGAAAATTCTAACTATAAAAAAAGGAATTGAGAAATTCAATTTTCATTTCAGTCCTTTCAACTTTATTGTTGAAATAGATAATACTCCATTTCCCTTTATGCTCGAAACAAAGAAAAAAAAAAAGACACTTCCATACGTACATCTACTTAGGTAGAAACACTGTTCTCCCACTATAAATTCACAGTTAAACACATCAAAGGGCACCATAAAGTTCTTGCAGATTATCTCTCAAGACCACCTAAAGTCCAATTCCTCACACACAGAAAATTCCTTAACCTTCTCAGTCCTGTAAAATTCTTGCCACTTTACATATCAACCATCTTTGAGTTCCATCCAAACATGTCTTATAGAATCAAAGCCACTATCTTTCCCGTAGGATCATAACCTGAAACACCCATTAATGTTGTCAACCTTGCCAAAGGAACTTTGTTCTACTACCTCCACCTTTTGTTTATTCACACAGGAATTCATCCTTATCCTCAACGCTTTAACCTGTAGGCTCGTTACATCACCATTCCCATTATTAAAGGCCCAATTCCAGAAGAACTATTATGTTACCTTTGGTCCCTCTCAGCCATTCATACCTGTTTCATGGCCTTCCTAGCCTTTACTATCTATCATTATCTTTGTGACTCCAGGAACCAAAATTCTCATCTTGTTGCCCTTTTTGAAATGTTTGCTCTTATACCCTACTGGAGAAGAAAACTTTTCAACCTTCTTGATGAGCATAATATCTAGACCGCACCATCACTAAAAAGATAAAAAAATTTCCTGTTTCTTCACTCTTTTCAGGCCTTAAGAAAGAAAATCTAATGGAAGTCCTTTTACAAATACTTGTCTAAATTTCTGGAACACCTCTACTCTTTGGCCTAAGTATGAGACTATAATAATGAAGAAATTGGGACAAACTTTAACTATACTAAATAAACTAGACACTGGTGAAGACTTTACAAGTCTCTCTCTTGGACCTTTTCCTCCCAGTCCACCCAATTTTTCACAACTGGTTGCTGCAAGTTCATCAACAACTCCTACATTAGAAGAATTTTAGAGAAATTTCATCCTACAGGCTATCACTCCTCTAGCCTTCACAGGAGATTCCCAAAATTCAATTCTCGGTGGAGAATCTCAAGATCCAAATCAGAGGGATTCATGGCCCTTCCAACTAAAGCTAGGAAAACGGGCTGGCCTTGTAGGGCTGGCAGGCTTAAAAGGACTGGTGGGCTTAAAAGGGCTGATCCTACACGGCCAAAATTTCAAAAACATCACAATTTGTTAGACCCGGCCCTTAAGCAGATGGGCTCAGGGCTAGCCAGTGAGCTTTCGGCCCATTTAATTAATATTTTCATTTTTCATATGTTTGATCAAAAAAAGAAAATAAACCAATATTACTAGTAAAAGATATAAATAGGAATAAAATTAAGTAACAAATATAAAAAATTATCATATCTAAATGTCCATCAACATACAAAAAATCTAAAACATCCATTAGACATAATAAGTCAATGACATTAACATCCAAAAGTTCCATTAAAACTAGACAAATGTTTTAACTAAAAAAAAAAAAAAAGTGGACAAACACTATCATCACTATCATTGATTGTAAGAATATTTGATTGTGCTTTACTAGTAATAGGCTGTTCTTAACTTCTAAAAATATCAATGATTTCTCAGGCTTTAATTGTGAAAATCACTTTGCTGCGCAATCTCATAAGAAGTCTGAAATATCTTAGCACTTTGGATTGATCCATAGTATGCTTTTAATGAGCTAACTATGTCATCCTATTTTTGTTTTTGCTGACGATGGTCTTCTTTGATTTTGTCTAGCTTGCTTGTCTAACTCTGTTTAAATATACAGTAAAAATTATGATATAGTTACTATAGAAAAAGTGTTAACTTATTTATTAAAATTTTATAATATATATACAAATTGATACATATCTGTTGATTCAATCATTATAATTTTTGTTTTAATATAGGGAATATATTTTGTTTATTTTAATATATAACTGTTGGTTCAAATAAATACAAATTTGAAATATGATTTAGGATATTGAGAATATACTTTTATTTATTTTAATATCATTAGAGATTGAAGTGTGAGTTAAGAGTGAGTGAAAAACTGAAAGTAAAACTTAAAAAGGGAAAGTATGTAAAATGTTAGGGACTTAGGTTAGGATCAAGAAAAAAATATAAATTAAAAAAATTATTGTTGGCGAGCTTAAACGGGTAGGCTCGCAGCCTACAGGGCCAGCCCTTTTATCTTCAAGCCCTATAGGACTGGCCTTTTTAAGTCGAAGTTCCCTTTGAAGATTTTAAATTACAAGCTCGGCTCTCAACTTAAATGGGTCAGCCCGATAGACTTGATCTGTTTTTTCAGCTCTACTTCCAACTCACCTAACTTGAAGGTCTCCATTTTTCGCAACCAGAAGTACCACCTGATCGAGACCCAAATGCACAGCTATCATCCTCTACTCAATGGGGTGGAGTACTCTCTTGACATTCTCATGGCTCAAATGAAGAGATAGACTATGTTGTCTGTAAAAATTATGACGCTGAGGAGGATCCCAACATGAACTTATCTCCAAGTCATAAATCGATTTTCAAGCACTAAAAGACAAAGCTGACTCATAAGGAATCTATTTTATGTTCTACTTTAAATATGAGTGTGATATGTGCTTTTACTTTTCTTTAGGCTATATCAGCTTTTACTTTTGTTAAGAATCTTTGTTCTTGTAAAATTAAAGTCGCATTATTAAGTTCGTAATAATGTTGGATTGTCGTCTGGTTAGTCCAAGAGTCTATATAAAGATACCTTTAGTCTTCTAAAGAGACACCAAGTGTTATATTAAATATTATGAGATTAATGAAAATATGTTTTCTCTAACATCTTTCTAAACTCTTTATTTCTTTTCGAAAGGTTGATCTATTTGCTCTAAAGATTCAACTATACTCTACACTTGCCTCATATGAGGATTTTGTGTATCAGAAAGAATCCGATCATGATTATGAGATGATCTCTTTTAGTTGAAGAGTCCTTAATCTGGAGTTTTATAAGTTGAGGTTCTAATGTAGCCTGTGTGAGGCCTGGAGTGCCATTTGTTAAGACTTTGATGTGGTAAGATCTATGATTCTTTAAACTGAGTCTCAAAGATTAGGGAGACTTGCCCACATAGTATCAAGATAAAAAAATTACTACATCAATTTGTTAATAAATATATTAACATGACAAGATTGAATTTTTATTAAATTATATAATATGAATTAAGATATAAATTAATTTATATGTAAAATGATAAATTGATTATTAATATAATTTTTTAACTAAATAAGAAATTATTAAATATTTCTTCCTCCATTTTTTTAATTAAGTCAAAGAAGATAATATTAAAATTTTTTTCACCTTACCTATTCCTGCCTCGACCCAAACAGGCCCTAAGCAATCCAGGAACCTCCGGCCTGCGAAAGAGAAGAAGCTCGTCGCGCCGTCAGCCTGTCACACCTCCTCAGCCACAGCGTCCTAGGTCTAATCTCTTCTCCTCCTCAGTCCTCATCTAGCTCGCGGCTCGTGAAGCTCGTTGCTCATTCAAGGAGCTTTACGCTTCTTCCACTGCTGCACGTGGTTGTCTTCGTAGTTCCTCTACTCTGCTGAAAGATTGGAATTCCTAGGACCTTAATTTTTTTCCGATGTTTGGGAATAGACAGAGTGCTTGGTTTCTGGCTTTCCGAAATTTATGATTGGGAATAGTTTTTCTCTGAAATTTTTAGTTGGATAGCTTCAAGGGAGAACGACTGATCTGGAATGTAATGTATTTGAACCATTTGTTTCTATTTATGCTTGGCTCCTGTTCATGTTTCGATTTGTGCTCGGCTCCGGAGCATTTGAATAATTTTTTTTTTAATTTTGTAATTATACTTGCTGCCATAATAATAATTTGAAAGTGAGAAACTAGGTACAAAGCAATCAATAATTATTGGGTTAAGTTTGGTACTTATTTTTTTGTATTTATTAATTTTTTTAATTAATACTCCTATAATTATAATCAAATAAGAAAGAAAAAGATGATATTAAAAAAGATAATTTTAGTATTTTTTAAAAAAAATCATATTTATTATAATTAATTAAGTTATCTTAATTTTCTTAATCTAATCTAAACACGGGAGGAGTATAAAGCAATCTGAATGTCGTGGTGGGTCTGAGGGGCTGAAAGTGAGAAACTAAATATAAAGCAATCAAATCAAATATCATATGCTTCAGTTTGAGTGTTCTACAACTTATGAGTTTAGAATTCATTCTGGCCTCTAATCCCCCCCCCCCCCGGCCCTCCCCGGAGTGAATGGCCACTAATTTTTTTGAGTGTTCTACTTCTTCCTCTCAGCCATGACGAGATTCTGGTCTCACAGTCAATTTGTTCATTTTCTCAATTTCTTCCTCTCAATTTCTTCTCTTGGCTATCACACTGCATCTATGTTTTGGGCATTTGATTTGTATGTGCTGGGTTGATATTGAAGAAAGATTATTATTGGGTAATTGTTATTGTAATAGTTTTGAATAAAGCTTATAATTGAAAAGATTATATTTTTCATTTATGTTATATTGTACTACCTCCGATTCTAATTATAAGATCCAGTTGACTTATTTAAGGAGATTAAGGAAGCAAGTTGAGTTAGTTATTTGTCTTGAATAAGTGTTGTCTTTCCTAAAATATCCTTACTAATCAAGTGGTTGACTAGAACTATCATTGTTAGAAGGGTTACTTTGGAAAAAAAATATATAAATATGAGAGACAAAGTGGATTGGGGTCTTATAATTAGGACCAAATAAAAAGTCAAACGGGATCTTATATTAAGGATCGGAGGTAGTATTATGCAAGCTCTGCCAGATTCATTGTGATGTATTAAGCACTGAGGAGGGCAATGAAGGAAAAGGTCAGCCCGACGGAAAAAAGAGGCAGACGGGGGAGTGAAACGGCGGACTAAGAAAAAGAGGAAGGGAAAGAACGAAGGGTCTCTGGAAGAGGAATGCAGCACCAGAGGCGTCTTCTTCTTCTTCCAAGTTCGACGGCTTCTTCTTCTTTCATCATCGACGGCGTCTTGTTCTTTCTCTTCATCGCGGGTTCTTCCTTCCTTTCTTTTATTTTCGTTTCTGCAATTTTCCTTTCCATGGCACATTGATTTTTGTTGTCATCAGCTATTATTATGAACTCCTTTGCTGAACTTGAATCCATATATTGATCTACAAGAGGTTTTGTTTGGTTTCTAATCTGATTTCATTCCTTTCCTCCGTTGTCTTCATGTTATTCTGCTACTGATTGGAGTTCGTTAAATGTCATGAATTGGGCGTTAATCGTTGAATCTATTGACTGTGATTGATGTACTCCATTGATACCTTAATTTAGGAATGTTGCAGCTGAGCTTAAACGATTGTTCTGTTCTGTCTTGGTGCCATTTGAAATTGGATTGCTGCTATGTTGGTACTTAATTGAGATTTGGATTAATTGCAAATTTCGGTAGCAATTAGTTCCTAAATGATCATTTGGGGCATTGCACTTTTTAGCACTAGGAGGTGGAACTTAATCAAAATAAATTAATCAAAGGTATGGATGAGCAAGGCTAAGCGTAAGGAGATTCATTCCTAGTTGTTTACTTCTATTTGTTTATAGAAGCACCTTGCATCTTGTGATTGATAATAATAATCAAACCGGACAAACCAAATTATTTTGGTTTGGTTTGTTTGATTTTTCTCTAAACTTCGACTTTTGCCTTCCTGCATTCCTCCTTCATTGCCTTCCTTAGTGCTTAATACATAATAATGAATCCAGCAGAGCTTGCATAATACAAAAAAGCATAGTAAAAAATATAATTTTTCTGATTATAAGCTTTATTCAAAACTATTACAATGACAATTGCCCCAATAATAATATTTCTTCAATATCAACCCATCACACGCAAATCAAATGCCCAAAACACAGATGCAGTGCGACAGCCAAGAGCAGAAATGTAGAGGAAGAAATCGGGAAAATGAACAAATTGACTGAGAGACTAGACTGAAAGGAAGTAGATAAATCTAGAAACATCTTACATCTTTATCTTGTCTCATCAATCTCTTTCTTCTCACTCTCATTGATTCATTGGCGTTCTTGTCCCCACTGCGTTTTTTTCTTTGATTTCTGTCTTGCTTTCTTGTCGGTTTTGAGTGAGGAAGGTGGGAAGGTTGAAGACCTTGCTCCTTCGCCTTTGGAATCTTTAGCGCATACAAAGAGTAGTGATATGTGTAGAAGAGAGAAAAACCAGATTTCATTCAACAACCGTAAGAGTGACGATCATACAATCCATATACCTCCTACCAGGCACGTAGCGCCCACTCACTCTCTCTCTTCGTAACTAACTCTATAACCATTTTACGGATATACCCTTTACTAGAGATTCTGTTATAGTAATAATCAGCAGAATATGAAATACTGTAAAATAACATGTATCAAGTAGCTATAAAGATTTTTTTTTATACACTTGAACAGGAAAAACAGAGAACAAAGCTAAACTGCACCCGACGATACAAGCATCGTCCGCCCTGCTTTAGAGCTTAAAATCTGGAGACCCATTGCTTCATTCAGAGCATCAGCCATCTGGTTATCCTCACAGTGAATGACCTGTAACTCTACTGTCCAAGACTGTTCGAGCATGTTCTGAAGTTCCTGGATCACAACCCAGTTGTCGTGCAAGCTGCTGTCACCACCGGAGATGAGATGTATGGCTTCCGAAGAGTCACACCGAAGAACTATATCCCTTTCACCAATGTCCCAAGCCCTTTGGTCAAAGGGCTTGGGACATTGGACAAAGAGTAGCTATAAAGATGTTATGAAATTTTAGAATTTAGAGTTGCCAGAATAAAAATTCGAATGCTTGGTATAATGTTTATAATTCAAACACTCAATAATAGTATGTTATCTGAGTATAGTAATTTTGAAAATTTGTTCATTGAAGGGAGCTATGTTATTGTGCGTTTTTGATACAATCCTCCTATAATTTCTAATTTGTATTACTAATGCATTTGTTATTACTTCATGATGTTCTCTGAACTTTCGCATTCCTTCAACCCATGTTATTACTCTCATGATTGTGATTTGTGTTTCCGGCTATCCCTGTTTCAGATTGACGGTCTGGTGGATAGCCACTATGGCGAGAGGTATTTATAGTTTTTCAGTTGTCCCCACTCCTTCAACCCATTTGTTACTAGTTTCCTGATTGTGAGCTAGTTTTATTTCCTATGCATGCTAGTCTTTACTGGATGCATTATGGGTTTATTCTATTTTTCTTATTTAAAAACATTTTTTGTGAAAAATTTCAAATGAGCACCGTACTGTTTTGTTTGATCTGTCTAATTTGTTCTTGATCTGAAGATGTGTGCGGACATCATATAAAGGATAAATCTGTTGCAAGCTGAACAATTCACTAATCACAATGTGATTCCGGACACACTATGTAAATAAGGTATCTCACTTATATACAAATTAAAGTATTCGATTTCATTCATTGAGCTTATAAAATTTTTCTTGTCAATTTCTTTTAAAATCTTGTATCTCATTTCAAACAAAAATAGTTCACTTCAAATAAATATTGTTCGTATTGGGTAAATATATAAACATCACCGCTTCTTCTTCTTTTTTTTGGGGGGGGGGGGGGGAATCATCACGCCACATTTAGATAGAAGGTATGATTTGTTTTCCGAGTATTCCAACTGTATTTGCAAGAGAGGTTCAACAACAGAAATTTTAGGAAGGTCCCTTCGAGGATGCGATGCCGTGTGCTTTATCTCACTTTGGTGTTTAGTTGCCTTGTGACTCATATTTTATGTATATGCCCATATTTAAAGCTAGGACAAGGTCCTCAAAATTCACTCTCTTATTTTTCTGCTCTTTTAGACTACTACTTATCCGAAAAGCCTCTAAAATTGAACAAGGTTTTCCATGCCCAGTTGATAAAATTGGGTTTCAATGTCTGCACCTATTTGGGTAATCGTTGTCTCGATCTATACTCCAAGTTTGGTGGGATAAGTGATGTCTTGAAAGCATTTGGTGATATGAGTAATAAGAACTCTACGTCCTGGAATATCTTCTTAAAAGGGTTGCTCAGAAGTGGTTATCTTGACAATGCAAACATTTGTTTGATGAAATGCCTATGAAGGATGTGGTCAGCTGGAATACAATGATTTCAGGTTACTCTTCTCATGGGTTTGGCAATCGAGCTTTTCAACTTTTCCTTGAGATGCAAAATATTGGCACAAAACCAAGTACATTCACTTACACCATCATGATGTCACTTTTATCAAGTCCCTGTCAAGGTAAGCAAATTCATGGAAGGTTGATCAGATGTAGGATGGATTTCTCAAATTTGGTTCTCGGAAATTCTTTAATAAATATGTACGGGAATTTTGGTCTTCTTGATTATTCTTTTGGTGTGATTTTGACCATGAAGCAGTTGGATATTATCTCTTGGAATTCTTTGATCTGGGCCTGCCATAATGCAGGTTGCAGGACATTAAGGATTGGCATTAGAGCAGTTCCATCGTATGAGAAGCACAGAGTTGTTACCTGATCAGTTTACATCTTCAATATTGATCTGTGTGTTCTAAGCTGCAAGATTTGGAAAAGGGTAGGCAAATTTTTGCCTTTTGTTTTAAGGTGGGATTCGTTCATAATAGTATTGTATCAAGTGCAGCTATTGACGTCTTTTCCAAATGCAACAGATTGGAGGATTCTGTCCAGCTTTTTAGAAAACAATATCAATGGGGCTCAGCTCTATGCAGTTCTATGATTTCAAGCTATGCTAGGCAAGGTTTAGGAGAAGAGGCATTAGGACTTTTTGTATTGACTTGGAGGAAGAATCTTAGGCCAACTGAATATATGGTTAGCTGTCTTCTGAGTTGTTTTTCCAGTGTGTTACAAGTAGAACTGGGTAATCAAATCCATTCATTGGTTTTGAAATTGGGTTTTGAGTCAGATGCAATAGTTGCCAATTCACTTGTTGGAATGTATGCAAAATTTGGATCCATTTATGATGCCTTAAATATCTTCAATGAAATAAGAAGAGATTTGATATCCTGGAACACCATATTAATGGGTCTAACTTACAATGGTGAAGTGTCTGCGGCTATGGACATTTTCAGTGAATTAATTGGGAAAGGTATGCCACCAGACCGAATAACTCTTTATGCAGCTTTAGAGGCATGCAACTACGGGAGTTTGGTTGATGAAGGAATTCAAATATTATCGTCTATGGAGAAGGAATTTGGGGTTAAACCAGAGAAGCAGCATTATGCTTTTGCTGTGGAGTTGTTTGGTCGTGCTGGTAGATTGAAGGAAGCTATTGACATTATTATGGAAACAATGCCACATAAAACTGCTCTTGTTTGGAAGTCAATTCTCTCTACATGCGCAATTTCTGAAAACTTATGATTTACTGAAAAGGTAGCAAAGAAAATAATGGAGATGGAACCGCAGTCATCTTTACCTTACTTGATGTTGGCTCAGGCGTATCAAATGGGGGGCAAGTGGGAGACCATGGTTCGAGTGAGAAAGGCATTGAACCATAAAAGTGCCAAGGAGTCCGCAGGATGCAGCTGGATTGGGATAAGAAATAACGTGTATTTTTTTTAGGCAAATAAATTACTTCAGTGTGGAGGCAAAGATGTTTATTTTGTGTTAAAGTTATTGCATTGGGAGATGGAAAATGAAGGTTATGCTTGTAAAACATTTTGATAAAAGAAAGTAAGAAGGTTATGCTTGTAAAACATCTTGATAAAAGAAAGTATAAGTTGTTGTAATTGGCAATGAATATTGATGGTGGGCCAGAAAAGAGCAAGTACCTAAGACTGTTTGCTACTCAGTAATGGTTGAGAAAGAGAAGTTGTAATATGCCTGACTGGTACGGTTAGGTAAAATTCCTTGACGTTATGGTATGAGGACGTCATTCGCTGGGATCTATACTGAAAAATCAAGCATTCAAGTTTTACGCTGTATGCGATGCACAATTTAGTACTCATGAATTCAGTAAAAGATTTTATATATTAAGCCAACCTTTGATTAGTCTAGTCCCTGTGACTTTGCGAGTTCTGCAGTGGCCTCCTCGTTATTGGGAAGGTCGAGAACCTTAACAAAAATTGGCCTTCTCCGCCAAAAGCTCTTCATCCTTTACATGTGCTTTATTTATAGTGCCATTTGTTGAATGGGGCAATACATCTCAAGCATTACGGGGCTGCAAATCGCCTACATTTTCTCCTCAGATCACGAAACCATCGAATCCTAGGCACAATTTGACATCAAATCAGCGTGCACAAAAGTGAGAATAATCAGGTAACTATATTAACAACTTCATTAATTCGGTCTTTTACATCAATAGCTACACATTTTTAGCTACGCCAATTCTCACGCATCCGATGCTTTTGAATTGTAGAGTATTTGTCATGTCAGCTAAAGAGATGGACATAATTTTTGAATTAAAGAAGTTTAATTTGTTATTACTACCTTTTGCCTTGGCACTGGCACAGTCAAGTTCATTTTATGGTTTGTGCTTAGCTCTGCTCTTCAGATACTGATAATTTCACAAGCTATTTTAATTTATTCCTTTTTAACTTTTTTCAATCATTGCTTGGGGTTTAAAATAACTAGCTATACAATTCATTAGTAAGCTTTATGGGGCTTACACGTCATCAGTACTTGAAGATAAAAACGTACTTGAAAATCTACGTCATGGATTGATGCTTATGGATAATGGCCAGCCAAACAGTTTCATCATTAAGCTCTGTGGGCAAAATAAGTCAATCGATGAAGGAAAAAAGACCTTAAAACACATGTTATGGATGAACTGAAGTCATGCTAAAACTTTTTACTCAGATTTCAAGCAACGAGTCCTGGTCCATTATAATTTAATCCCTAAACCCTAAATGGAGGATAATATGGGTCGATGTACGGATAGGACAGTAGTTTCCGGTGTTTGCTTGATGGAACGGTTTAGATTTTTTCCCCTCATTAGAAGCACCCTAAAAAAAAAAAAAAACATATTGGGGCCTGCGCTTTGAACTCCTTAACTTTTCCCTAACTGATTTCCATCAACTTCAAAGGATGCCGAGGAAACTCAGGAAAAAAAGCAAGACATGAAGTGACTTTGCAAGAACCAAATGCTGCTATTATTTTCCTTTGTTTACTTCTCTGTCTCCATCCTAATCTCTTCCAATTATGTGTCATTTATTGATCTCATCAAATCGGAATGAAGAGAAGTATGACCGAGAAGTTAGTGCAATTTCTCCTGAAGGCAGGCTATTTCAGGTCGAATGTGCTATTGAGGCCATCAAGGCATGCTGCTCTTCACAGTGATCTCTCATTTCCTTTTTATTGTTTCTTTCTATAGTTAGGACATGTTATTTCTATATGATCAATCTTTTTATTTTTCATATAAATCATATTCATATTTTGGAACTTTTTGGCTTATACTAGCATGAGTTTTATATTTAGAACCGAAAGAGTATTAACTACGCAATGCTATGAGAACTCATTCCCCTCCGTATAATTATTCTCACAACATAATATCTAGTTAGGTGTCATATGATGAATACACAATCACTTTATCATTATTTATGATACTTTAACAGATTGTAACATTGTAAGCTTTCTAGGGATTAACACTATTATAGGTTTGAAATTTAAAAAACCAAAAATAACGTGAGCATAAATTTCAAGAACCAAAAATTACACTAGTCTCTACTAATAATGCTGAACGTAACATCTATTTCATATTCTAACTTAACCTATAGTTATTTGGCGCTCTATTTGGGCAAATAAATATGATTATTGTCAAAGATTAAGTTATTAGGGTAGGGCCGGACCTTGAAAATATTATTGTCATATATTTAATGCAATGATATCGACGCATTGAACCCCGAATAATTTAATTATTTGTATCAACTCATGGACAAAATGTGACGATGTGACAATATTATTTTTCAAAATTCATGCGATGTTTATATATTTACCTAATAAGAACAGCATTTATGTGAAGCGAAATATTTTTGTTTTAAATGAGATATAAGATTTTAAAAGAAGAAATTGACAAGAGAAATCTTATAAACTTAACGAATGAAATAGGATACTTTACTCTGTGCATAAGTGAAGTATCTTATTTACTCTTTTTTTTTTTGCGAATAAATATCTTATTTACATAGTGAGTTCGAAATCACATTGTGATTAGGGAATTGTTCAGCTTGCAATGTACTTATCCGTTTTTTTATTGTTATTGGTGGTGAATGGAGGATGATACTGATATTAATGAAACCCCAGCTCGAAATTCATTCATCTAAAAATCAATGGGATTGCTATTTGAAAAAAAAAATCAATGAGAACTAATGACAAATTCTCATTAGAAAAAGTGTTCACGTTTAGTACCTAATAGTGCTGACAAATATTTGCGCTAACTAGATAACATGATTACTACCGTGCATTAGCAAAATACTTGTCATATTCATTCAACCCTAATGCTACTCTTAATTCCCTAATTATTGCATAGTTCTTGGTTAGTGATGAAATTTCCAAACCAAATAATCTGCTAAACTACGCTACAATATCTTTCACGACAAAAAGGAAGACATCTTCCCTACTGATCGATAGTATTACAGTGATTTATTCAACAATAAAAGAAAAATAAATTTACCGTGACGAAGCAAAAAATATTTACGTCTCTCACATCCTCCCTCACACAAAATACTAAAATGCCCATTAATGAATGGTGGAGGCAGGAAGTGGACTTTAGTCAGCAATGGAAGAAAAAAGAGAAGATCCAGGGAAGGGCACTTTAGTCATTACGTTATGATGGAATAATCTTTTATATATATATATATATATATATATATATATATCTCTCTCTCAATCTAATGAAGCTTTCATTTAAAACCAAAGTTGTTTATAACATAAACATTGCAACCAAATGTGATTAGTATAATAATTAAAAAAAAAACCTTCTACATAAAATTGCAATCAAATGGTTCCCACCAACATGTATTTAAATGAGATAGTATAATCAAACCTACCTTTTCAAAATATTGCTTGCCACTGTTAAAATTTTATTTTCATTTCATACAATTGAAGCAGTTATATCTTAAAATGAAGCCTTTATGACCGGTGGGGCTATGGTCACTGGTAATGAAAGGGAGTTTTTAACCAATTTATAAGGTTAACCTCGTCATTTGACCAAAAACAAATTAATTTAAAATAAATCCCTGCCAAGAGGCCGTTTGCCTTAATTTCCTTGGGTAAAAGGTAGCAATTGAGCAAAAGATTCATCTTTGCAGTAACTAATAGAATTGAGAACTCCTCTTTTGATATAGTAATAAATAAAGTTGATAATATAAGTTGGACTTATGAGTTCAGCCTGCCACTCTGATAACTGAATTTTTCATATAAAATCCCAAAATTTTAATGGGATATCACGCCTGTTCACAGCATTTTGAATAGATACTTAGATAGAGCATAGTCTTATTTTGCCAGGAATGTCACTTCCCAACAAAGTTCTTCTTTGCCATTAAAAAGTGAAAAAGTATCGAATTTCCCACCCCAGAAGAACGGTTTTAACTAGGAGCACGTTCCACGAGGGTGAAAGCCAATTGTTCGGATCATGGGTAAAAAGATCAAAAGCACTTTGAATCCTAAGATTTACAGCTAAGAAATGATTAGACCTACATTATTTAAAAAAAATATATGTGATTAGCAACGGAATTTAATAATGAAATTTAGCGATGACATTTTTATTTAACTAGAAACAAGGATTTCGTTTCTACGCGTACAACTTTACCAATTGAACTCTAATAAACATACTAACTTACTGTACAAAATTATAGATATATATAATATTCTTTTATATAAACAATTATATATACACATATATATTATTAAAAACTAAAAATAAAATGTATGATAATTTTAAAAATAATTATTTTTATGACAAAATAATTCTTAAATATTTGTTTTACTATTTATTTTATAATTTTAAAAATTATTTTAAAAAAAATTTTTGATATAATATTAATTTTCATTACACTAATTTTGAATTTTAAATTGTAAATATTTTTCATAAATATTTTTTTAAAATTTATTTTTTAATTGACATTGATGAGATATAATTTAATTATATATGTATTATAATACATTATATTATATTATCTATATTTGTTTTATATATTTGATAAAAATCATTCATGATTAGTAAAAAAATCTTGTTATTCAAAAAATAACATCTATAAAAAATCTAATAAATATTCTATATAAAAAATAAATAATTTAAATAAATTATGATAAATAACATTCTCCCGCTTATATATGTATCCTATATAAATTTATTTTCTTAAAATTCTTTGTATATACCATTTATTTTTGTATTGAAAACCAAAATCAATCTATATCATAGGTATTAATTATATCATGATTAAATTTATTTTTTAATAATTAAATTTAAAATTCAATTCAATATTAGTTTAATTTATAATAATAAATTGAGTATTCATATAAATTCTTTTTTGGTTTTGAATTTTTATCATATATTTACATCTTTCAATAATTGTAATATAATAGAATTATTT